ATTTTCAATAAAATAAAATTAGCTTGAAACTTGAGCTAGGCTATTGCTTGAAGAACTATATTTATTATAGTATCGCTATCTATAAAAATCTTAAACTAACATAATGAAACAGAGTAGTAAAATAAAAGTATCTTGTTTTAAGCCTAGTAAATTTGTCATGACTTCGAACATTCGAGTTGCAAAAAATTACTTGAAGTAATTACGTAATTTTGTTCAGTAATGTAAAACTAAAAACCTGGAAGAGATATGCTTTTACAGGTTATATGATAGTTATATAAAAAAAAATGTTTTTATAATTTTTTTAAAAAGTATATTCATAGTTCTATTATATTATAAATAACAGATTATTTTTTATTTGATCAATAATTGAATTTAGAGAATGATGTTCATCAAAATTTGAAATACTAACATTGATTAATTATTTAAATATTTAAAAATAGCAAGAAGTTTCTAAAAATCAATGTTGTGATTTAGTTGACATTTAGCAAGTGGAGCATAAGCCCACATTTGATTCCATTTAATATTCAACATGTTTAAGAAATTTTTGCTGATTCCCAGTAATATCTTATCACTAGATAAGTCTGATAATGAAAATATTTTTTGGAAGGTTAATATTGATTTTAAATAGCAGGTCAAGGCTTTAATTTTTTTATTTTGTTATCATGTAACTATGTCTATGTATTCATATAATCAATCATATGTAAAATAACAATAGTCTAATATTTTATTGATTATTTGATTTGCGAATATTGATAACGATTTCAAAATCATTATAAATAACATAATATTTTTAAAAATAAATAATTAAATAATTGCATTTCAGAAAACTTCCAAAAATTAAGTAGGAACCTATTATTACTTTTATACTATTGAATGATCTAAATAAAATTTTGTGTTATTACTTTTTAAGTTAATATAATTTTTAGTTTTAGATGAGAGAGGTGCACAACGTAAAAAAATTTTTAACTGATCAATATGGTATAAATAGAGAGGTGAGGAGCACCTTGCTTCTTACCATTCTTCAATTTTCAATACTTATTTCAAAAAAAATAATATTATAGAATTGGATATCAACTAGTCAAAATGTTATATAATGTCTCCTGTATATATGTTTTTCATTGCATTTTTACAAAAAACATAAGAAAGTTTATCATTGTTTTTATATTCTATTGGAAAATGCTACTTTTACAATATTGTAATGAAGATATATGTATTTAATTTCTATAATTGCGGGCATTTTTAACCTAATTTTCAGTAATGATAGGTTTTACTAGATTAAAATTGGATTGTTTAATCATTAAAATCTGGCCAGTAAGAGTCTAGAATTTTCATGAATAAAAAAAAAATTTGATAAAATACCTTCTTAGCTTCGTAACAAAGCTAATATTGCCATTTCGAAATTTTGAAGAAATTAAAAATGAATTATTTTATTTTTTCTTATTTAGTGATAAATATTAAAAAATATGCTTTAAGTGTAGTCTAAGAAAACAATAATTTTTTATTTTTATATTTAAAAAAAGATAATTGTATCAAAAATTATAAGCTTTATAAGTTAGTTCTGATAACCACTATAAATTAGAAAAATATAACAACAATTAGTAAAAAACCTTCAATTCTTTATTACCATAAATTTGGAATGTATATGTTTGTTTTTGCACATGAATTAATTGCTAAATATGTGGAAAATAATTGGATTATTTGATTGTTCGAAAATAGTTTATAACAAATTCATATTTGGATAGATATTATTAATATTAAAAATTAGAAGTGATAGAAAAAGTCTAATGGCACTTTTGAAAACATTGCAAAAAGTTGATTTAAAAAGTATATTTTTGTATCTGATGAAAGTTCCTTGTAGTCCAGTGTATAAAACTTATAACTTAGTTATAAATAACAAACATTTTTTTTGAAAGTATTGCATCAAGCCCTTTAAATTTTTATACGCGTTAAAAGTAAATAAATATACAACTACTTCATTATTTTCATAATATCTTCGTAAAAATTACAATATTAAATTATTTTTAAAATAATTTAATATTTAATAATAATATAATTATAAAATTTTTAGAAGTGATTAGGATTTTGAGTATGTTGTCATAAAAGAAAAATCTAATATTTAGGAAATATGATTTATAAGTTCTTTGGTTAAGTTCTCACTTTATTTTTTAGTATAAAATTTTTCTTTAGTATGCGCTTATCAAACTAAAAAGAAAATTAAATCGTCACTCCTAAATTTAGCTGTAAATACGCCTATGTGTTAACGTAGGTATTATTTTTTTCTGAAATTGAATTATTTTAAATGTTTTATTTTATTTACTAATCTATTTTTATTTTAGTAGTTATGTACCACGCATAAATGTATTATAATTAAGAAACACAAATGAGAACAGTGCCAAGTTTTATGGCCAACACCATTGTTGTAGAAAATAACTTTTATCAACTGTTTTAAAATATAAAATAATGTAGTTTAGTTCACTAAATTTAGCCAACTTTTTATATGATGCAAATCTGTAGATAGTGTTTAATTTTAAGAAATTGGTGGATTAATCAATCTATTTTTTTGTTCTACTTCGAATGCCATTTTCACATAAAAAATTGGTCGTCGGTAAAATTTTTTTTTTTTAATTTCTGGTACTTAATATAAGCTTTATTTGAACATATATTTAAAAGACGCAGATTTCCCAGAACATTTTCCAAAAAAATTAAGTTCTACTTTTTATACAAATTTTCAAGTTTTCAATAATTTAAGCTTTTTATAAACTCAAAAATAATTAAGGAAATATTGTAAAAATATCATTGCCTTGTGGCAATGATTTTTACTGAAGAAGCAAACTTTGGCGCATTCGTTTTTTGATAAAATTGGCAATTTAAGCTAATTCAAATGTTAAAATTTATTTTTTCGACTCAAAATAAAATAAAAATTGAAATATGTTTAACTTTATTTTCTATGTCAATTAGTTTTATATAATATTCATGAAAATCAGTGTACCCCATTATCAAAATAAATATTAAAATATATTAAATACAGTAACAAGAATTTTAACACAAAAATAACACATTTTTGAATATGATAACCATGTTCGCTATATCTCGATTTTTTTCATAGTATAGTATATTACATAAGCTTTAATTTAAGATTAAATAAAAATATCAATATCTACAGAAAATTTTCAAAAATTGAGTGGAAAAAGTTTGACTTGTGTGTAAATTATTTTGAATCCCCCCTGTGGTCAGGTCAAAAGTCAGATTTTTAAAAAATGTATATCAAATGAAAGTAGTAAACATAAAATATTTATGAAAAAATAATTGTATTGATCCATACATTTTTCAAAAATATATTGTAATTTAAAGTTGAAAAAATAAAAAATGAAATCGTAAATTTTAACTTCAAAATTGCATGTTTTTTATCTGCGGCAACCATTTCCACATAGAAGATAAGTCGTCGGAACAAACAATTTTTTTTGTGCTTATAGTACATATAATTAGCTTTATTTTAGCATATGTTTGAATCATGGAGTATTTCCGGAACATTTTTAAAACTTATGTTGGAAAATAAAAATTTTTGTTCAGAAGTTGCTATTTTGAATCCACATCTGTGGTCATATTTTCAAAAAATTTATATCCAATGAAAGAAAATTATCTATAGTTTCAATATAAAAAAGAATTATTTTAATTCGTTCTTTTTTCAATAAGTTATGGCAATTTTTGTAAGAAAAGTTTAAAAAATGTCGAAATTTACCGATTTTATAAATCGTAATTTTTTTTACTATTTACGGGGATAGAGGTCAAAATTTTCAATTTTTGAGGGCAATGTCTTCGACTAGATACGATTTGTGATCTTTTGACGTATTTTTGAGAAAAATCGGTTCAGTGAGAGCTGAGAAAAAGTAGTGACAGACACAAAAAAAAACACATCATGGTAAAATTAATACTTTCTCAACTTCGCATCAAAGTTAAAAAATAATTTTAGAAGAAAATGATAAGAATTTTATGATCCGACCGTGGTAATTTAAGTACTTGGAGCACGGTCGTTTGTGACGTAATTATTGTTATTAGTTTGAATTTGGATTATTTGGAAGTTTAATTAATTCTTTAACGTGAGCTTAAAAAACTTTGTAATTAGTTTATGACTACACATGAAACTAAATGACTTATTGTATTAATGGTTATAAAATGATAGAAATAAATATTTGTTATATTAATAGAACCTACGGTTATTGATATACTTTCAGTTTATTGAATACTTTAAGAATTAAATTATTATATAAGTCATTTCATATTTTTATATGTGTAAACCAACTTTAATTGTTTATTGTTAATATTTTTTTCTCAATTTTCTGTTAAAGTATAATATTAAATATTTAAAAAAACTATTGTTTTGCATTAATTTTTATAATTAATTAAAATTTTTATACTGACTTTGTGATTTTATGTTAAATATTCATTCCTAATTTATTTTGAACGAAATAACAAAAATTATGGGTAGGTACTAATTTATTCCTTATTTTGAGATAATTTTTTTTTTTACTAAGTAAGTATATTTGCTTATTACGATTAATATCATTTTTAGCTTTTTATGAGAGGTAATTCGTTGTGGCTTGAAAACGCTCCTTAATTTTTAGAAACTATAATCCCCTTCCTAGTTTTTCTCACTTAAACCATTCGTTTTATATTCTATTTTTTTTCTTGGATTTTATCACATTAGTAACACCACTATAGTTTTAAATGATCGAGTTTATAGTTAAATTATTAATTTAACACACTAAAAAGTTTTCATTGTGAAATAATATAAATAGGAATTTTAACTCTTCATGTCGTTAATTTTTAATATTAAATAATAATAAAAAAATATTTAATACGATGGAATGGCAACATTTGTTTTATCTTGCAATCGTTCACGAGTGTTTAAAATACCAAATAAGTTGTAAATATTATAGTAGGTTCTATATTAAATTTGCTGTTATACTTTACAATAACACTTTTAAGTTAAAAATTTAATGAAAACTTCTATTTTATTACAGTACAACATATTCAGTACCAATAACTCATATATTATATATATATATATTTATATTATTTATGTAAGGTATGGGAATGTCTAAATAACTATAAATAAATTTTCGAACCTAAGTTTTCAGTTAATATTTATTAACTAATGAATATATTTATATTGTTTAAACTAATTATTTTTAATTAATAGGAGGTAGGAATTATATGGTTGAATTTTTAGTGTTAGTTTTAATGTGTATAGTTCTATAATAATAAATGTATTAAATTTGCGCTTTGTTGCAAGTATTGAATTGTTGTTATTATTTTTATTTTTGATATTGTCTACGATTTTTTAATTGGCCTTGAATTGTTTCATCGACATTTAATATATTTAAAATTAATTGAGATTATAATAATTAAAATTTTTAAGTTCAACTTTCATTATTCTACATTATTTTCACAGTTGAATTATATTTCCTTCACTTATTTTGTAATCCTGTTATTTTAATTTTCAATAAATTCCTCTTTACCGGCATTTTAAATTTGGTCTTAGAACTCAGATTATTTTTCACAAATATTTTAACAAATTTCCGTTGGGACTTTCCATAATTTCCAATGCCAATTTTTTATATTACTTAAGTACTTGATAAGAGTTGACCGAACAAAGTATAAAATACGTTTGATATCTTCGCAAACATTGTATACAAAAAAATGTATGACATTATTATGTACGGGAATTGCCTTTGATTTAACATACTGTGTTATTATTTGATTACATGTAATTTGATCTATTCGGGATTTTACTAAAAACTGTACAAGACAAGTCAATAACCTCTTATCTATTTGTCCCAGTTTTTAACGAAAAACCTGCAAAGTTCATATCTATATGTATTCATGAGATATATTCCAGCGTGTGCAGTGTTATAGATTATTCTTTTATTAAAATTTGGCAAATTCAACTCGATATGTTTTTACGTAACATGAAATTATTTCTTGAAATTAAATCATATCTGAGAAAAATCTAAGATAAATTTGACAGAATCAATACGAATATTTAAAAATCTAGTTCATTTTAATGTTAAAACGCTCTAATTAAACGTAAATTTGATAGCATATTAACGATATTCGTAGTTGAAACTACAAGTCATAGTTGGCATTAAAAATTGAGGGCTTAATGTATAATTATTTCTTAAGAGTATATTATATGCTACAAATATAAACTTGTATAAAGTGGCATATTATAATATATTTGCAATTCGGTGATTGTGGAAGCCATAAAATACCATTCGGGTAGTGGGTTACTTTTTCGATGGGTAAATGTAAAGTTTAAGGTTCCTAAAAGTAATAAATTCAACAGTTATGTCTAGAGAATAAAAATAATACGTATATATATATTTATAAATATGACAGATAAAAATTACTTACATTAATTTTGCAGATTAAACTATGTTATTGTTCTCGACTGTCTGAGAAACAATTTTTAAAAAGTTTATTGGATTATTTTGTTATTGCCCTTGAACAGTGAACACATAAATGCCATGGTCTATAATTGACCTATTAAGCTACCTTACTTTGATAAGTTTTGTTTCCATCAATATTCTTGCTGTATATAATTAAACTTCTTAAATATTTTTATAATTAGCACGATAATTAAAACACTCATTTTTAATTAGTTATCCAACAATTCAAATTTTTTAAGTATCTAATTTTCTTTATTACTTTTTAAAACTAACCTTAAATTGTAATCTTTGATGCTCATGGAATTTTACACCACAGTCAAGAATACTATTCATTTATTAAATGTAAGCTTCACATTAAATAATTAACTTATTTTAGTGCATTATTACAATTATCTTGTCTGAATAATATATGAATCAAGTTTTACCTAAAAAAAAAAAATTTAATTAGAAAGATTTTTTTTAATATCTATTTCATGTATTACACGTGAAATTTTAGCTATAATAAAAAATTGACAAACACCTAGTTTATAATCTCTTTTACCTCTATAGTCATCGATACATGACTTTTAACTTCGATGCGAAGTTAAGAAGGTATTAATTTTACCATTATGTGTTTTTTTTTTTGTGTCTGTTACCACTTTTTCTCAGCTATCACTGGACCGATTTTTCTCAACAATACATCAAAAGATCACAAATCGTATCTAGTTGAAGACATTACCCTCAAAAATTGAACATTTTCCCCTAGGTCCCGTAAATGGTGAAAATTCCCAAAAAATTAAGATTTTTAAAATCAGTAAATTTTGAAATTTTTTTCAATTTTTTTTCTAAAAATTGCCATAACTTATTGAAAAATGAACAAATCAAAATAATTTTTTTATACTAAAACCTTCAGTAATTTCCTTTTATTTGATATAATATTTTTGAAAATCTGACCCTTTACCTGCCCATAAGAGGGAATTCAAAATAGCAATTTTTTTTACAAAACTCAACTTTTTCAACTTAAATTTTATAAATGTTTCCGAAATACTGTGTTCTTAAAACATATGTCAAATTAAAACTTATGTTATATACCATAAATTATTCAAAAAAAATATGTCCCGACAACTTATCNCTTATGTTATATACCATAAATTATTCAAAAAAAATATGTCCCGACGACTTATTTTCTATGTGCAAACGGCTGCCATAGTTGAAAAACATGCTATTTTTGTGTTCAAATTTTATATTTTTTGTTTATTTTAAAATGCCTTATAAAGGTTTGCCATAGTATTAAGTCTGCCAATAAATATAAAATTTACATGAATTTAACTTACATCAAGTAAAATTTATACTTTGATTATTTTGCCTCTTCAAAATTAAGAAAAGCTTGAATTATTGAAAACTTGAAAATTTGTATAAAAAGTAGAACTTAGCTTTTTGGATAATGTCTGGTAAATCTGCGTCTTTTAAATATATGCTAAAATAAAGCTTATATTATGTATCAGAAGTTAAAAAAAAAAAGAGTTTCTCAGCTTCGCATCGAAGCTAAAATTTACCAACGAACCATTTTCTGTGTGAAAATGGCAATCGAAGTAGAACAAAAAATATGAGTTATTTTTGCTTTTAAAATAATCTAAAAATTTCTTAAAATTAAACACTATCTATAGATTTTCATCGAAGTGTTTCTTTTGATAGTGATTGTCTGACAGTGATAACATTTTTATTTGTCTCGCATATGCCGTAATTCAACTGAACTACCAGTTCTTTCTGACTACTATCTTTTGTTTCAATTTTTATGTATTTTTGTTCGCAGTTAAGAAAGATATTTTGCATGGAATCAATGGCAACTTTCGATCAGGTGAACTTACGGCAATCATGGGACCATCGGGTGGTGGTAAAAGTACACTTCTCAATGTTCTTGCTGGATATTCGTAAGTAAATGTTTTCAACAAAATTTTTACTGTATTTTAATTTTTAATAACAAGTGGTAAATAATGAAATATTATTAATGTTCAATTTCTATGAGTGGGTTATTTGACAGACATCGTAATTATTAAATTTTCAGAAAATAAGTGAAAACTTCACGGTTGACCTAAAGTGAAACAAAGCTATAAAATATCACATATTTCTGTAACTGTTAAAATGATTTTATAGAAAAATAACGACTACAGTACAATATTTATAAAAGTTATTTTTCATAACTAGTTATAGTTAAAAATGAGCATGAAAGCTCGAATATTAACTTTTAAAATTATATTAATATTTATATTATTTTTTATAAAACAATTATTTTACTTATTTGAAGAAAACGTAAATATAAAAATGTCTTCTTACTTTTTTCCATTGATGTAAGAAAAGTTTAGTGATTATGCTATTTAAAAAAAAAAACGTATTTAATTCAGGGAATTTAAATGTACCATAATCTTGTTTATGAAAAATGGTGTATCTTAATACTGATTTTTATATGATCCATTTATATTTTTTATAAATATTAATTTTTTTATTAAAATCTATTATATTTGTAAATCATATAATATATGGATATTGATCTATTATATCCATTTTCTCTTCCTTTTTATTTTCCCACCAGTCATACGACTAATCGTTCGCTTCTCCGTATGATTAAATTGGCCAATGAGAACCCAACTTTTTTTATTTAATCAAATTTTCTTTTGTTTATATACATATATATAAATTTTTTTCAGTGATGTGCTGTATTTTTTATTTAGATTAATTTAATTTTTAAACTATCAATTGGATAGTATTATTTAAGATATTTTAATATCTAATGAATCTAGATTACTTATGATATAATAACACTAATTGTATAATTTCAGTTAAGCAATTAACGAAATTACCATTTTTCAACTTTAAATGATAATTATTAAGTTTGTTTTGCACCATAAACGTAAATTATACTAAATGTTTTAGCGGAGATTAACTTTGAGTTGAAAAAATTGATTTCATTTTCTTAAATTTGTTCAAGAAAATTTTAGAATAAAACTGGAACTATTAAAAGCCTGACTTTCAGAAAGAGCTAATAATACTTTTATAAATAAAACTTTTATTACTTCTCTGTTATATATTAGGGTTTTAGGGAAATATGAGCATATTTTGAGATTTTTTTAATGTATATAAGTGTAATATTTTAAAGATCTTTATAATCAAATGTCCATTCTATAGTTATAACCAATATCAGCCAAAAGTGATGGTACATTCTACTGTATTTTAATAGGTATTAATTTCGTTTTAAATATCTTAAGTTATTTATTATCTTGTAAAAATATTAGTAACAAATGTGAAATTATCAAAATGAATAAAATATTTTATAATTGATTACAGAGTAACGGGTAGTGGTGGTTCAGTGTACTTAAATAATATATCAAGAGATCATAAATGTATGTCAAAAATTAGTTGTTACATACAGCAAGATGACTATGTTCGTGATTTATTGACTGTCAGAGAATCAATGATTGTGGCTTCACACCTCAAACTACCGCCAGAAAGATCAACACTGTCCAAAATCAGACAAGTTGAGGACTTGCTTGATGCGTTGGGTCTATCAGTTCATGGAGACACTATCACAAAAAGGCTTTCTGGTGGCCAGAAAAAAAGACTCTCTATCGCATTGGAACTTATTACCAATCCGTCGATTATATTTCTTGATGAACCTACAACGTAAGTATTTCTATAATTTTTAATTTCAAATAATCAAAAAAAATTAATATTGAACTATTAGTAATGCTTAATAATATTATTATTAAATAATTTCTTTTTCAAAACTTTCTTAGTTGTATTTTTTTAAATTTAAAAAAAAAATTCCTTTAAAAGTCGTTATATTTTTTGAATTTCTAATATAAAACTTATAGTGTGATATTATAATAATAACACGAAAATAGAAATCTTCCAATTTTTGTATTATTTTTCTCTTAAAAACTTTTTTCTATAGAATTTCTAAGGGTAAATATTTATTGAAAAAGATTGATTTTATTAACTCAATTACGTATAATTAAGGTTATTTATAATTAAGTAGTATTTAAATATTTTACTGCTCAAAAACCGTGTAAATGTAATAATTAACTAGGTAGTTGAGAAGGTGCAACTATCCACAATTTTTATTCTAAGTTTACTAATTTTTAATTGTCTACACATAAATATTAATGTGTAGTATTAGTAATTGCTACGTAAACAATTGTTATTGTTTGAACTGCTTAACTCATTTATACTATTAAAATTACTCTAAAATTAAAGTTATTTAATATTTCATAAGCCTACTGTTTAACATATGATTGAATCGTAATTTCCAAAAAAAAATTCGAGTATCAACATTTACATTTATTATATTATAACTATTATAAAATTTTGATCAGATTTGATGCAAATCTGTAGATAGTGTTTAATTTTAAAATTTTTATGTATCATTACAAAAGCTACATGATCTACTATTTCCTTATTTATATCCTAAATACAAATTATATGCATTACTAGTGCAAAGTATGTAATCGATGGAGAATTTCTCCTCTATAAAGTTATTTGACAAATGTATGAAACAGAATTTTTTTCCATTTTCTTATTCATTTTCCCATTCTAAATTTTGATAGAATATATCTTCAACAAAAGTACAATCTTCTTAGTCTTCAATATTTATTTCTATTGAATTTGTACGCCATTGACCTTTGCAATGTTCACATATAATAGAACATTTAAGCCCTGTTTTTCGGCAGCCACAATTTTTACCAGCTCCAGCACCTGACTAAAGGCCGTTTTACGAGCATATAAGAGGAAGTATAAGTGTAGTGTCAATCGTGGATAAGATGAGAGAATATAGACTTAGATGGTTTAGTCATGTTATGAGGAAAGAAGAAGAATCGGAATGTACAATTTAGCGTTTAATTGGGTTTAAACAATATAGCGTCAAATCAATTACCTATTCTATCGGTTGTATCTTAATATACACTACACTTTAATGATATTATAAATAAATTAACTCACACNAATATACACTACACTTTAATGATATTATAAATAAATAAACTCACACATATACACATATGCATTTATAACATTGTGTCTAATGTAAGTATAGCATGATAAAAAGTAACCGTAAAATGAAAAAAATGGAAAATAAATTTTACTACTCATATTAAATGTAATATAACTCGAAAAATATTTGTTTCAATGAAAAAATATAAGATACTTTTTTGTTTAGAATTGTCCTTTAAACAACTTTTGTACGAAACTTTTTTTTGGAAGTTAAATATTTTTTGAGAAAATTAAAAAAGCTCATATTTTTTAACTTTTGCGAGGCTGTAAAAAAAAAAGCTCAATTCCAATCAATGAGGACTTTTAGCATGTCATTATACATATCTTAATTTAACTTTTTAAAAAAAAAAATTTGGTTGGGAATTTTTTCCGCTATTCGCCAAAATTACTCCTGCGTTGACTGGCCTTATATATATATGTAGAGTTTGTTAAGTATCTGAATTTAATTATAATTTTACTATTTATAAATATTATGTTACATTGAATTTCTTTTTATTGTTAAATTTGTGCAATTTTTTCACTGATATGTTAATCTGTAATATAGTGGTTTAAGTACAATTACTTCCGGCGTGACATAATACATGATGCTCTCTTTACATTATGCTGAGTCAAATAGGAAATACTAAAAGTTAAGACTCTTATCATAATGTCATATCAAATATTGTTCTGACCTTGATTTAAAAACATTTTTTTATGTCAGCTAACAGTCCCTTTAGTCTATGCATTTAATTTTGTATTTTGTTATTTATCATTTCTAGTTCTTGTAGGTAAGTAATACAATTACTTATTATAAGTATTGTTTCTTTGTTAGGTTGATTTGAAATACTATACATTATGAGGAAATAATGTAAAAAGAAGTTAGGTATATGATCATTTTGAAAAGGTTGTATTGCGGTGTTACCCATCCCTTGATAATATTTTATCATTTTAGTGGAGAAAAATTTGTTATACAAATTGCTCAAAAAAAATACTATCTTATAATTAAATATATATATATATATTTAGTCTTAAAAATATACTACTTCTTTATTATTTCACTACCGTTAACTCATTTTTTTAACTTCAGATAACTGACTAAGTTCAATAATATAGATTTTTAGGTGTATAAAAATGTCAAATTTTAAATGATATAGTTATCGATATAGTGTATCGATTTTAAAATCTAATTTTTTATACGTTCTTTATTTATTGTCTTGTTACACGATATATTTATTAATAGGTAAAAATAAAAATTACATTTTCTAATAAAAACTTGTTTCCATTCTGTATTTAGATGTTATTTATAATTTATTTTGTATAAATCCTTTTTTTTTTTTACTGCGCATATCTTTATTTTATAACTATGTCATTGTTTTACATAATTAATTTGGCTAGTAAACTCTTTGTATTCACATAATTGTATTCAAAATATCTTGAATTAATTCAAAATATTATTTAGAATAAGTTTTAATATTTATATTTATTTCTTAATATAGTATAAGGCTGATTATAATCAAATTAAACTTGAATAATAATTATTATTCAATTAAAAAGTATTAACTTCAATGACTCTTATATTTAATCCTATTATTCATTTACTTAACGTTTCTTAATTATTAGTTCATTTTTCTAGTGGTTTAGACAGTCTATCATGCAGTCAATTTGTTTCTTTGATGGTTGATTTAGCACACAACCAAGGACGTACTATGATATGCACATTACATCAGCCCAGTGCTTTATTATTTGAAAAATTTGATCAAGTTTATACGCTATCTGCAGGTCGATGTATTTTTCAAGGTCCTCCAAGCTTTGTAATACCATACTTTGCAGAGCGAGCTATTATATGTCCACCATATCACAATCCAGCCGACTTTTGTAATTATAATTTTATTTATCTTATTAGTTATTTAGTATAAATTAATAGTTGGTTCATATGTATTGAAGTCATTCTTAATAAAATTTGATTTGAAATTAAATTGTTCCAATTGTTCAAATTGGCATTTTTTTTTTTATATAGATAAATTTACTTAAAAGGATTATAATATTAAAATTTGCTATAACTAATTGTTCTATCTTATTTTTTTCTAGTAATCGAAATAGCCATTGGCGATTATGGACCGGACGTGTTGGTGAAATTAGCTGAGTCATTGACTAAGGATAATTATTACAAAAAAAATATCATTTGTATTTCTGGTGAACAAGAAACGATACGAGAAAATGGTGAGTAACTATTAAACAGAACTTTCTAGTATGCTCTTCATTCATGTTTATTAACAATATGTTTTAACTATGATTTACAGGAATGTGCTTAAAGAAACTTGATTCCGCTAATGGTAAAAATCAAGCCCCATTCACACTAAGTAAATCGTCAACTCCTCCGCCATTGTATCTACAAGCTTATCATTTATATGTACGAAATATAATTGCCTTCAAGCGGAACAAAGTAATAGTTACTAAAATGAAATGTTATCTTATAATTTTTTTTATTTCAACTTAAAATAGACCTTTT